CACACACACACACACACACAATTTCTACCGGGTCTGGGGGCTGAAACTTCCCGAAATCACAAAAGAGTTCCTTTACCGGGTCTGTATACTTCATGACTCTGTTCCCGGTCACCGGGTCTGTATACACTTCGATTGAAAAATACCGGACCAGCGGACTGACTTTGCCTATGTCTCAACCTTAGGAATTCATAATTTCCCAGTTTTTAATATCTCTCCAATGGAGAATCTCGGACCGGTAGATCTATTCTTTAAAATTTTGTCAGGGGCCCTCCTCCACCCCAACCACCCGCCCCACCTACCCCACTTTCTCGCGCAATAATGTACTGTGGTCCGGTATTCTTCAATCTTCCCTAGATCTAAATTCTAGATGCATGACTACGCCATCTGACCCCTACAGCGGGACTTTACCCAAATCACCTTTTTTTCTATAGTCTATATAAACTTAATTTCTTATGCATGGGATTAGCAGAGCAAGGAAAGTCTTGAACTTCGATACAACGGGAGAGATCGAGCGAGCTGTAATTGCTGTATCTGGGGGAAGGGCGATGGGGGTGGCTGTAGGCTGTAGGTCAGCAGTGTGGCGTTGTGTTTGGTCTGTCCAGTCATGAGTGAGGCTGGGGGGGGGGGGAGAGCAGTTTCCGTGCACCTAGTTCAAGGGGCCCCCGAAACTACCCGGTTACAGTGTACAACATAGATACTGAGACTATGTGCCCGGTTACCGTTACGTAGACACTCCGTTCCCTAATTCCCCATGTTACAGTTACCCATTAGTAGGTCTAGTATCTGGTCCTACTAAATCTATAACATCATCTTACTAGATATCTATACACTTTACTTTTACTTTACACTAGATTATAATAATATCTAGATCTAGGCCCTAGAAAATCTTAATTTAAAGTGTCCGGTGCTTTTTCGGTAGTTCCCATCCCTGGTGTAAGATTGAGCTTTGGTGGACCCAACACTGAATGAAGCCGGAACTACTTTTGAGCCCAATGCCTTACAACAATGGATGGTCTGCTCTTCTTAGAGCTAGAATCTAGTCTAGTCTTGTGTGTTTTTAAACATTTTTATAATTGTTGTTGCCACGGGGGAAAACCCCCCACTAACAGTGTGCATTAATACATGTAAACACGGTGGGTTCACCAAAGTTAAATCTGGCCCCACCCCCCTTATTTTGGCCAATTTTATTCAAAATTCCCAAACTTTAGCTCGATTTAGTATTCAAGTCAAGTAGTTAGATCTAGGGATAAATACTAGATATCAAGATTCTAGATCGAGGTAAAGGATTTGTCAAAATTACACGGTCTATTGTACGATAGTTAAACGCTACGCCTAGACCAAGTCCTCAGAGCACTGACTTCATCATCATCATTGCCTTTCTCACCCTGCACCAGGGTATAGGCCACGGACAAACACCCCCCACTTTTCTCTATATTGGGCTAGCCTCTTGATGTTATTCCATGTCTTCCCATTTTTCTGTACATCGATTTCTGTGATTCTTCTCCAAGTTCCACGAGGTCTTCCCCTTGATCTCTTGCCCTGTGGGTTCCAATCCAAAACTTTCTCTGTTGTTATGCAGCTGCCTGACTTCCTGAGAGTATGTCCAATCCATCGCCACCGCCTTCTTCCAACCTCTTCTCTGACTGGGATCTGTCTTGTTTTCCTTAACACTTCCACATTGGTGACCCTGTCTGTCCATCTGATCCTCAGTAACTTTCTTAGACACCTGTTCAAGAAAACCTGGATCCTCTTTATACAAGTCTGCGATGCGTTCCATGAGCGCTGACTTATTTCCTCTTATATTTTCCCTCTGTGCTGAATTTATTTTGGAAAAATGCCAGATTTGCAGATACACTTTTTTTTGCTAATTTTTTATTTGTCAAAATTTCTAATGAAGGTAAGAATAGAAGTTTTAGAATATTGAAAGTTCTAAAATTTATGAATACATGTGATGCTAACAGTTTTATTGTGAAGTTGTTGTATTCGTGGTGTTGGAAATGACTAAATAAAAACTGCCGGTTCATTAGATCTAGATCTAGACTAGAGTCTAGATGCTTCGTAGGCCTACGTTATATTCAACAAAGTGTTAGCTCTAGCATCAATACCCTCGAAATCATCTTCCGATTCAAGGAAAATAACCGGATCTTCATCTGAATCTGATGCGACACTATTGTCTGTCATGTTCGTTGTAGGTTGCAATCGCGAATTTTCCATCACTGTCACTCGACTTTAACGTGAAACAAAAAACTCCTCGCGCCTCGATTGAACCCCGTGACAAGAAAATTGGCGGGGGAAATCAATTCTGCGTAGCCTACCAGCCAGCTGTATAAGAATTAGTTCTTCGTTCTTTTCGTACATCGCGTTATACTGTGCCAATGTCTATCGCGACCGGCAGTCACGATCAGCGCTTTACGGAAGTTCAGCCCGTCACCGGTCGGTGGTCACAATCAGCGCTGTAAGGGTTAATTGCAATCGTGAAGTGCGTCTGGGAGATTGACTGTCGCCATTGTTGTTTTGGACGGAAGTGGAAGTACAATTCGGCCAACCGTTCTTTGATAAAAGAGAGTTCTCTCTGATAACATTAGGCATATTGCCAAGTTGGAAAGTTAACCTTTTTCCGTGCCATTTACTGTTACAAAGAAGCGTTTAATTCAGGTAATTTTTGTTCATCATGTATGGTATTGGTACTAAAGAAGTATCATAAGTCGAAATCTCTTCAAATATTCGGTCTAGGCCGATATCAGTAAGTTTTAACTGAATTATATTCCCAAAACAGGAAAATCAGGAAATATTTGGGGGTGGGAACTACCGAAAAAGCACCAAGTGTCCTAGGCTAAAGGCCTAAAGAAAGCTAACCAAGTGGCTATTTTCTGGCATCGCGCCAGTCAATAGATTGATGGCTATTCTCCGGCGTCAGGTATAGTTGCACATGTCACTTCTCCACAGCTTTTCATCTCCCCTGTCTGCACATTATGGCCATTCATTATTGTTGCAACCGAGTCCAGTGCCAGATGCGCCAACTTGTGCTTCTGGTTGTGACTGAGGGTTGTTGGTGCCTCTGGTGCTGTCAGCTGTTACTTAGAAATTCCTCCTTCTTCTGTCACTGGAGCTTTCATTGAGTAGTGGCTGCGTGTCCACTCCGCCTATGGTGAATCACATTCTGAAGAAATATCCACCCTGATGAGTGTTTGTGTAAGGCCATAACGTGCCGACAGGGGAGATAGAAAGCTGTGGAGAAGCTACATGTACAACTATACATGACGCTGGAGAATTGCCATCGATTTATTTACCGGCGCGACACAGAGTGGTTAATATTAAAATGAACCCTAATATATATTTGATTACATTATTTATTAAATGTGTTTTCTCTTTTTTCTGTTTCTAGTCTCAAGCAGCGGGAAGAAGTTCGAAAATGCTGCAGCACATCAACTACAGGATGCGCTGTCAGCTGCAGGACGGCCGCATATTTATTGGCACTTTCAAGGCATTTGACAAACACATGAATCTCATTTTGGGAGATTGTGATGAGTTCCGTAAGATTAAGCCAAAGAACGTCAAGTCCAATGAACGTGAGGAAAAGCGAGTTTTGGGCCTGGTTCTTCTCAGGGGAGAACATTTAGTGTCAATGACAGTCGAAGGACCTCCAGCAGCAGAGGTAAAGTAGCCATCTTTGTTGTGGGGTTGTTGCTGGGTTTTTTTTGGTTTTTTGTAGACTACAAAATGCTGTTCATAAAAAATAGCTGGGTTTTGTAAAGTTGCATTATATCGTCAGGTAGCCTTTCAAATTATTTGGTTGTGATTTCTTTTCATTTACCCTAGTTCATGTTGCATGGATTATCTTGATAAATGTTTAGTGTCACAAAAGTTTTTTAAGAAGACTCATTTATCTGTCATTTGAGTTTTATTTTCATGTGTCATATTCTCAGCATAAATTCAAATGGGTCCAAATTTTTACTGCCTTTTGTCAAAATATTTACTTCACTGTCGAGATTTGGGTCCAAGTGTTAGACTGTCTTTTAATAAATGCACACTCTGTCATTTGCACAGTATTGTACTGGTGACAAATCAATACTTGCTTACGATATTTAGTGTGAGGAGTTGATTTTTGTTTTTACAGATGTATCCAATAGACTGTTTTGACTGGTTAGAAAATCCATAATTAAGAAGGTAAAGAATGATGTGGATAAAAGTTGCTTTTAATTCTTCTGTATATTTGACATGCCTTTGTTCTTTGACCTTCCAGGAAGGAGTGGCTCGCGTGCCACTTGCAGGTGCTAGCTCTGGCCCTGGTGTTGGTCGGGCTGCAGGGCGCGGTATGGCGGGAGCCACCGGTATGCCAGCAGCTCCTGGTCTCCAGGGACCTGCCCGCGGTGTGGGAGGCCCCTCACAGCAGATGATGACGCCTCAGCCCAGGATGGGAGCACCACCAATGGGTACGTCCCAGCTTGACTAGTGGTCAAGTCAGGGAATTTATCGACTGCATTTTCAGCAGTAAAGAAGTTAAAAAGTGTAGTCTGTGGAAATGCATCGCAGCACTAATCCAGTTTAGTTATGCCCTCTTTTTAAATTTTAATGGTCACTTTTTTTTATCCTACATAACCCATCCTGCTCAGGTGTGAGAGCTCTACTTTGTAGTGGGCATGATTTGCTATTCCTGAATGTGTGTGGCTCTGAGGAAACTTGATAGAAGTTGAACTTTTTCAAAGGGAACATTTTTTGCATACATTTAAACGGCTGACTTTTTCTTAGACATTTTGGATTTTATTTTGGTGCAACTGGATATCTTAAAAGTTTCAGCTTTTTTAAAATGTAGGAAGAGTCCAACAGATTAGTTCTGTGAGAAAAACAGAGTGTTTTTTTAATGATATCTCAGAATTAACTTTGTACATTCTAACAGGGTTTCTTGGAGATCCTCCTATATGTGGAATATGGTTGTTTGCCTCATATTTTATCAAATGAAAATCAGGCAACCGTTTCCAGTTCTGTCATTTTTTTTGCTGATTTTCTTGTTCGTCATCTGTATTTATTAAGTGAGATTTGCAAAACCAGCCTAATGTAATGCTTAGGAAACCAAATCTATTTTGTTTGAAAACTAGATTTATAGTTTCTTTTTTATTGTGTTATTATTATTTTTTTTAAAAGAATTAATCTGTTCTGTTTCTTGTGTGTGTTGGGGTTCTGCCTTATCTGACTCTCTCTCTCTCTCTCCTTGGTACTTTCAGCCCGCCCTCCCATGATGATGGGTGGTCAAGGCAACATGAGACCTCAAGCTATGCCCAGGGGACCTGCCCCAATGCAAATGAGAGGTAAGTGTTCTGAGGAGCTGAATGTATTGACTCACTAAATACTAAATGCAATGTATGCGTTCACATTTCCTGCTGTCTTCGCTATCTATCTGTCTGGGTTAATCTGGTGGTTTAGAGCAGTTGCAAGTTTTGTGTCTTTTTCGTTTCTCTTTGATGATGATGTGCACTTAAAAATCCTCTTGATTTCTTGCAAACCGGGTAAGGGGGTGGTTTTGGGTGTCAGTCTCTCTCTCTCTCTCTCTCTCTCTCTCTCTCTCTCTCTCTCTCTCACTTACTCTCTTGTAACACCTCTAATCTTTGGCACTTATATGACCTTATTGTGTTGCAAGTACCGTAAAACTCTTACTAGTACTAAACTCTTAAAGTAATCTTAATCTACTGAGATTCTGGAGACAATCTGGAAATCCATTTTTTTAACCCTGCAAACTGGGGTTTTAAGGAGGATTCTGAGGAAAAAAAGCCTACCTATTTTTTGGTCATGGAGTGGTGGGCGGGTCTGAAGACACGAGTTGCATTCTCTCTTTGATTCATCGAATTACTACTTCTGTCTGCTGGGATGCTGTGGTCTCACTCAGCTTAGTTTGATCCTAAGAAATTTAAATTGTGTGTGTAAGGGATGGTGGTGGTTAAAAACAATTGGTTATTTGCTTGCCGTATCTATATACCTGATGTCCAATATCTGCCAAATTAGGTCACACACTTATATGGGGGGGGGGGGTTGTAATTTTTCTCTTATTATTTTTCCAGAATTGCTCAAAATTTTATGTTCTTTTTGCATGTCATAGTAAAAGTAGGCATATCATCAATTGTAATTGTGGTTGTGGAAAATTAAAAAGATTTCAGGACTTCCCGAGAAGGTGACCATGACTCGCTCTCTCAGGGGAGATAACTTTGTGTGAAGAAATTTTCCTGACTTCCATTTATTTAGTGACTTCTCTTGTTGAGGCTTGAATAGCATAATGGCTTAGTCTTTCTAAAAATGTAACGTGAATGTAACTCCCACACACATGTACACAGCAACTGATTGATCGGTCTCTAATGATGAGCACACACACCATAGATGGTTAGCGGGTGCTCTAGTGTGGTTTGCTCCTTCTTTCCTATCAAACAACAATCCTCCTTGTCTGTCCTCCTTTTTTTGTGTTTGTTACTCTCTTGTGACCCCTCTAATCTTCGTCACAAAGTTGACCTAATTCAATTGTGTTACTTACAAGTGCCATGAAATTCTTACTTAAACAATAAAACAAATGGTATGTCAAGATGTATGAATTTTTGTGCGGTAAATGTAAAAGTGTCTTTTGCACGTTTGGACGATCACTGCCTTTTTGTGTGAATTGGACATCAGATTCTCACTTTATCAATGTGGGTGGTTGGCGGGTGCTCTGGTGTGGTTTGCTACTTCTTTCCTATCAAACATCTATCGTCCTGATTTCTCCTTCTTCGTTTTTATGTTTGTTACTTTCTTGTAATACCTCCAATTTTTGGCACTTAAATGACCTTATTGTGTGGCAAGTGCTGTAAAACTCTAACTAAAACAAAACGTTATCAGTGTTTATTATGTACATGTGTATGTTGGAGATATTACTATGTCCAGGCATCGCTACTGTTTGGTAGAGAGAAAGGCTTGCATAAGACTAAAAATAGTTAGAGATATTCCTCTTGTCACTATTGCACCGTAGGATGCATCGTCTCCTTTCTTTCCTTGCTATTTAGTTGCTTGTTGGTTTTTTACCTCAGCATTATTGATTAGTGAACCCCATTTTCAATCAAAAAGGTTCTTTGTATGTTCGTTTCTAGGGAGAGGGGGGGGGGGCGGCATAAATTGTGTATAGAAAACAATAGTGGGTGCTGTTTCTTTCCTTGCGCCACCATAAAAGAAAAAAAAAAGCCAACAAAACACGCACGCACGCCCCCAAACATTCTTGTCACGTTTCAGTTCCAAAACATGGGTCTTAAAAGATGTTTGTGGGTGGTTGGCGGATGCTCTGGTGTGGTTTGCTCCTTCTTTCCTATCAAACATCTGTCGTCCTTATCTCTCCTTCTTTTTTGTTTGTTACTCTCTTGTAACACCTCTAATCTTCTGGCGCTCATATGACCTTATGCAGTTGCGAGCTCCGTAAAACCTCTGCTAAACAAAAACTAAGAGAAGCTGTGAAAGTCACCTACAGTGTGGAGAGTAGAGCTAACACACGGGAATCTTAAATTAATAGGCTAGTGGGGAACTTTGGCGCAAATGAGAAACTGGCATTTTCCACATTATGTTTTCCTTCAGGTTCTGTTTGTTTTGTTGCTCTTTGTTGTGTACTTCCTGGCCGCCCACCTGTTTCTCGCTTTGCCGAGCAGACTTGTCATTGCTGCCATTGCTCGCGCCAATTTGTGTTGTGCTGCAAGCCCGACCGCTGAAATCCTATTCGTTCTCTCATCAGCGCCCCCCCCCCCACCCCCTTTTCTTGCTCTGCGAGGCCTTTTGTCGACTCTCCCAACGCCTGCATTCGTCAGAACAGACCTCCCAACTCACTGCCTTTTTTTCCCCCTCCTCCCCCCACACACATATATTATTATTTTTCCTCCATCTCTATTGTCCATCTGTTCCTCTGTCTATGTACGTGCATATGCGCGCTCGCCGACGTGCGTGACTAGACGGGCGGAGGGGGGGGGGGGCGCATCGCGCGCGCGCGCAGAAGATCCCACTTACACCGGGTGAACCACCGTGGTCCCCAAACTGGTGAAACTGAGAACGGGCAGCTAAAAACACCTGTCCTCCCCCAAGGCATGCTCGCCGAGCTGATAATGGATGGAGGTTTGGGGGCAACAGGCTTCTCCGGTGATCAGCCGCGGAAAGAGGATAAGTCTGAGGCAGGCTCACGTCGTGGGGGGGAGGGGGTAGGTTAGAGTTTTGGAAAATTGCCGGAGGTGTTGAGTTCTGTGCGTGAGGGTGAGAGATTTGGATTTGGGGGGATAAAAGAAGAAAAATGACAGTGCGCCTGATCTGAGCTTAGTTGCGAGGTTGCTAGGAAAGAATTACTGCATGTCGATTGGAAAATGCGCCCTCCCCCCACACCAAAAAAAAGGTGGTTGTTGTTCGCGGGAAGAAAGGAGCGAGAAGTATGGTGAAGAGTAGTGAAAGGTGGTTGGGTTTAGAGGGGACTGGGCCCGGAATCCCCGGCTGTTATTAAAGTTTTGCTTATAGCCCGAGGCTTGATGGAGAAAGAAACCCCGGGAGATCAATACGAGAGGGGAGGAGTCTGATGAAAGCATAACCGGGGAGTAGTGGCCAGGGGCCGGGCGGTGCACAGCAAACCTATTATTACGGGATCACAGGGGAGGGGGGGGGGGGGGTACGGCGGGAAGGGAAGAGGGGTTAGCGCCCCTAGCTAGCTGTGGGAGCCCCAGGGTTGTTGGCTGGGACCTGAATCTGCCCCTGGCGAGGAAGTCACTGTCTACACTCTACACCCGGTTTTTCCCGTCCTTTGTCTTTATATCCCCACGAGTGATCGGGTTTCGTCCCAGGGAAAGTGTTATTGAACTTCATCTGGTTCATCAGTACATTTTTATAATCCACAAAAAACGTAAATAAAAATTATTAGTACCTCATTCTGTTCGTGGATGGTCGACGGGTGCTCTGGTGTGGCTCTACTTCTTCTTTCCAATCAAGCGTCTATCGTCCTTATCTCCCCCTTCTTCTTTTTTATGTTTGTTACTCTCTTGTTACACCTCTAATGCGGGTGGTTGGCGGGTGCTCTGGTGTGGTTTGCTCCTTCTTTCCTATCAAACATCTATCGTCCTTATCTCCCCCTCCTTTTTTATGTTTGTTACACTCTTGTAACACGTCTAATCTTCTGGCGCTCATATGACCTTATGCAGTTGCGAGCGCTGTAAAATCTCTACTGGAAAAAAAAACCACCTCTAATCTTCTGGCGCTCATATGACTTTATGCAGTTGCGAGCGCTGTAAAACCTCTACTAAAACCAAACATCATTCTGTTCTTGGTGCATGTCAGCCACTCTGTATAAATAAAACAACCTGCTGTCAGGTCCACATTTCTACAGCAAATATATCTTGGCACAGTGCAGTTGTATCACTAGTGTCATGAAAGCATTTCTTTGGGTGTGATGAGAGTGTGATACATCTATGTGTACATGTACCGTACGAACAAAACAAAATTTGGAGAAGAGCAAGGTTGTCAATTGGTCTTGGGAATACTTGGATGTTTTCTTGTTGTTTGTAGGGTCGATTTTGAATTGACTTACTTGGTGTGGGTGGTTGGCGGGTGTTCTGGTGTGGTTTGCTGCTTTTTTTTCTTTCCTATCAAACATCTATCGTCTTTATCTCCCCTCCTTCTTTTTTGTGTTTGTTACTTTCTTGCTACATCTCTAATCTTGTGCACACATATATGGTCTTATTGTGTTGCAAGTGCCATAAAACACTTACTGGAAAAAAAAAAAGACTTGGTGAAGTCCCTGCACTCCATCTTACACTTACTGCAAAGTAACAATACATGTGTCTATTTAATGTACATGTGTGTTACTTCCCTCACTTCTGTCCAGTCCTGGTGGGTGGTTGGCGGGTGCTCTGGTGTGGTTTGCTTCTTCTTTCCTATCAAACATCCATCATCCTTATCTCCCCATCCTTCTTTTTTATGTTTGTTACTCTCTTGTAACACCTCTAATCATCTGGCACTCATATGACCTTGTGCAGATGCAAGCGCTGTAAAACCTCTACATGTTTACTAAAACAAAGTAACAATATACGTGTCTTTTAAGTGTACATGTGTGTTACTTCCCTCACTTCTGTCCAGTCCTGGAAGAAATTTTATGATTCTGCTTGCCTTGTGTCTTTTGACCTCGCCTTCGGTTTTTTGTTCTTTGTTTCTATTCTTCTAGTCTGCTGTTTTTCTCGAAATCTAGCATTGTTGTAATGCTGTAAAATGGCAACTCGTTTTGTGCGTATCGCTATATATTGTAGGCCTATATGTTATAATTATAAATACCATTTTTTTCTCTTCTATTTCCAGGTGGAATGCAACCACAACCTAGAATGGGAGGGCCACCAATGTAGCTGATCTTTGTTTCATTCCCTCATCATCATGTTTCATCACCATCTTCATTTTCATGTTTTCATTTCATTCGCCATATTTTTAAATGCGTATTTCTTACTGTAAATGTACATTGTTACCAATAGTTCCCACTTTGGTGTTCCTTGTGGTGTTGTGAGAGTTGTATACAGCAAGGGGGGAGGCAGTGCTGCTGTGAACATTTTCCTTTTTCTAATGGCAGTCGACGTCTCGTGCCACTGTGTGCAGTCTGTCGCTGTTCTTCTTTGTTGGCAGATGTCTGTTGTTTCCCTTGCTGGTGTGAGTGGAAAAATTACGTTCTGAAGAGCAGTATGTTATACTTTAAGAACAGTATGTTGTACCTTGTGTTTTAAGAGAAATGATAAATGAGAACACCAGAATTAATAAAAAAGAAAAAAAAACTGTTCATATTTGTCTTTTTGAATTTATTTTAAGCTTGTTGCACTGTGTGTTTTTTTCAAACAGTTTTCTGTGTACATTGTGTAAAGAGAGCTTCTTGAAGTGGGTAGTTGGCGGGTTCTCTGGTGTGGTTTGCTCCTTCTTTCCTATCAAACATCTATTGTCCTTATCTTCCCTTCTTCTTTTTTATGTTTGTTACTCTCTTGTAACACCTCTAATCTTCGGGCGCTCATATGACCTTATTCAGTTGCGAGCACCGTAAAACTCTTACTAAAATTTTAAAAAGTTTTCTGTGTATATTGTGTAAAGAGAGCTCCTTGAAATAAGATGAAGAATCACCTTTTGAAAAATAGTCTCCTTACTGCATGCAGAAAAAGAAGACAGAAAAAATGTACCTGTTGAAAGCCAGGTTGGACATGATGAAACATTGTACTGTTGTGTGTACTTTTTTTCCCCCAAGTATCAATTAATTGTAGAGCAATTTCACAAATAATGTACTCGTAAAAATGTAAAATTATAGTGGCATTTTTGTAAGTGCGTGAAAATAATGCTACTCTAGACAATAATAATCAATGCAAACTTTCTTCACTTCACCCAGGTGGAAATGGGTACACGACTATATGCAGTGAAAGTGAAAGATCTTGTAGTTTTTTTTTAGTGTTTGAGCTCATGTAATCTGTAGCTTGCACTGTATGCGTCCCGGGAAGCGGAAAATGTTTCTGAATGAACTAGGGTCTGTTGGGGTAGTATGATCGTAATGTGCACGGAGCATTCTGTAGAGCGTGGATATGCACCATAAGTGCAATTATTATTATTTTAAAAAGTAGAACTCTTGAAAAGCCTGTCAAGCTGACTGTCACTCTCATTCTTTCTGTTGACATGACGTGGTTGTTCCTCTCACTTGGTGTTAAACCAAAGATCTACGTAACGAGATAGTTCACGCCTCTCTTTGAGTTGGAGCCAATTTTAAAAGTACTCAAAATCCGGTGGCGCCCTCTTCGAAAAAGTGCGGACTTTGGGAACAGTTACCGTACTTGTGTGAAAAAATAGCGAAACTAACAAGCTGTGTTATTCCTATTCTTCTGGGGAAACGAAAGAGAGCTTCAAAGCAAAGACTGCAGCGCCATCTGAAACAATGCACAGACACTTGTTTGGCCGAGTGAACTATCATGTTAAGAACGATCTTTGGTTAAACATAACTGACTTCTTGTATTATGAAATGCCACATATTTTGGGCCCCACTTCTTGCAATCACGGTTATGACTGGATTCCGACTATAGCAGGCCTATAATGAATGAATCTCCAAGTCCGATCTCTTCTACTTATTATAGTGTTTTTAAGTTCTCTTATAGTAACTTATATCTGGCATTCGGACAGACTTGCTCGCGGTTGGTTGGAGAGCGCCACTAGTAGTAGGTCCTATTTTATTTTCCCTCTGTAGTTTGTCTTTTTTAGTTTTAGTAGAGGTTTTACGGCACTCGCAACTGCATAAGGTCATATGAGCGCCAAGGGGTGGATGTCAACTGAGAAGTCTTTACAGGGAATCACACTTACTCTGCTCTCCTCTCTAGCTTCAACAGCACAAAGTCTGCTTCGACTATCAAGGCACCCCGGAAATGGTGGGTCACAAGAGTGTGACAAACATACAAAAGAAGTAGAGGAAAAACGACAATAGTAAGGATTAGGAAAGAAAAAGCAACAGTTCCCTGTTGTAGATCAGGCACAGTTATGAGCGTGACATTGATGAATCAGCCCATTTACAATTCTACAGTGCATGAACGAGAAATGTCCCCCCTTTGGGAATTGCCTGAAGACACTTCAGTCAGAGGCACCGCCCCGGGGGGTTATCATTTGTCTGTCTTACTTTTTCCCAGCACTGAATGACCATTATTGTGTCGCTGTGCTTCTCTTTACTCAAACAGATATATAATATTTGGCTGTGACAATGACCATTGACAGAATCTTCTAAAACAAATGGACAAGAAAGCAGAAAGTTGAGAAAGAAAAGCAAATGGAGCAAAACATCTAACACGGCAAAGTGGGTGTTTGGCAGGTGCTCTGGTGTGGTTTGCTTCTTCTTTCCTTTCAAACATATCGTCATTATCTCCCCTCCTTCTTTTTTGCGTTTGTTACTCTCTTGTAACACCTCTACTAATCTTCGGCACTTATATTTATATGACCTTATTGTGTTGCTAGTGCCGTAAAACTCTTACTAAAAGTTACACAGCAAATTGCCTTGTGACATTGACTCACAATACTGTCGTAAGCTAACAAAACACCTTTTGTTCATTCACAGCAATTTCAAGATAAGTTAAAGAGGCTTTTTGTCAGCGTAACCGCCTGAAAATAGCGTTCTTCAGAAATTTTAGTTTTAATTTGTTTAAAAACTAGTCAGAGTTTCACTTTGATTTTTTTCTCACAAGTGGGGTAACTGATCAGGCTTTCGATTTATAATGATTTAGCAAAAAAAAAATTAAAAATTAGCTAGCACCTAAATGAAAAATGTCATTTTGTCAGCTTACCGCAGAGTAGGCCTAAGTTTACGCTATACACATTTTAAAATAATTTGTCATACCATGCCGTCTGCGCTGGGAGGGAGGGAATGAAAGTAGAAAGCTAAATGAATGCACTTAAGTGTTGATGCAGATCTTGTCAATGACTTCTTAGCATGACCTTGGTCAGGCACCACATCGTCACATTGTCTCCCCGTGTGTGTGTGTGTGTGGGGGGGGGGGGGGGGGCAAGACGTGCACATCTAACGTGAATAAATAATTGAATATCGTCACTTTGTCTCCCCGTGGGGTGGCAAGACTTGTACGTGGGTGGTTGGCGGGTGCTCTGATGTCACGATGTGGTTTGCTTCTTCTTTTCTATCAAACATCTATCGTCCTTATCTCCCCCTTCTTCTTTTTTAAGTTTGCTACTCTCTTGTAACACCTCTAATCTTCTGGCGCTCATATGACCGTATGCAGTTGCGAGCGCCGTAAACCCTCTACAATGTACGAAAAAAATAGTTTCAAAAAGACTTGTACATGATCTAAACGGGAATAAATGATTGAATATCGTCACATTGTCTCCCTGTGGGGTAGCAACATAGTGGCAAGACTAGTAGCGGGTAGAAATGATTGAATAAAAAGAAAAGTAGGCACAAAATTTTTGTCTACTGAGGATCTCTGCGCGTTCCTTTCCCCAACTGTGGTAACTGTTTACAAATAGTTGTAGAGTCTGAGAGCTTGCTATAGAACATGATATGCACTTTTATTTATTTTTTTAATGCAATTACTTAGGTTTCTACACATGTAATTTTATTAGGCTACCTGCCTGTGTGTCGCAAATGATGTCAAGTCAACTTCTATGAGACTAAGAACATCCAGAAAAAGATGAGGAGCCAAAAAAAAAAAATATCGCAATGAAAGAAATGAAAAATAATTGATTGTTGGCCGTGGGTAATCTATGTAATAATACAAAAATAAGAATGGACCCATTCGTCAATCATTAGTTACAATGTATAAAACTTGACCCCCGTCTATAATAACAGGATTGTGCTACACTTGTACCAGTAACAGGGATATCACGTGGCACCCGGCGATCCTGTCATAACCAGGGTCCACATGAGGGCAGATTAAAAAGTAATAGAAGTTGTGAAATATCTCAAAAACCCTCAAAGCTTTTGACTTGGATTTTTTGGTCCCTCGAAATATTCTCCTCCATCTTGTGTCCAGGATTCGGGCCTCTTTAGCCACTTCTGGAAGTATGCACACAATACAGCTGTGGTCAGCTTCCGGTATGCTTCACCGCAGCTCTGAATTTACAGCTCTTGCTAGGTCGTGAATGCGCTCAAACTCAAACTTTCGTCTACCAAGCTTATCTGAAGAATAGAAAATGACCAGAAGTTACAGGAAGCTAAGTCAGAACTGTAAGGCCAAGGCTGGGTGAGGCAGAACTTAGATCCCTTGCCCGTGTATACAAATACATGTGTACAAAGAATCGTGGCCCTCGCTTTATTTATCTGTCCCCGTGGTTTTATGCACCCCGCATAATTTAGCCAAATTTGATCATTTTTTTTGCATAATTTCTTATTATTTTCCTTTATCATTCTTTGTTAAAATTAACAGAATCGCATAATTTCACATTTTAGGCTTAGTTTGCACAATTTCATAATTTTTCTTGCATAAAACGACCGGGAGAGATTTATGGGGAGCTGCGGTGTCGTGAAAGAGCATTGTGAGGGTGGTTCCGGTCTTTGGTCTCTGCTCATGAACGACATTTTTCAACTGGGGGAGGGGGGTGTGTCACCTTTTGCAAAGTGTGAGACGACATAGCAATTAAAGTTAATATTATCATGTGGCATATCAACCACAGAGGGACCACTGCTAATTTTTAAAAAGTCAGTAAAAAGCCTCTTTCTGCTTTGAAATCCTGTACGTTAAACAACAGGCGATTCAACCTTTGTGATGGAATCCCCCCCCCCCTCACCCCACCCTAACCAAGAGAATGATCTATGTTTTGTCTCCGGTGACAATGTCGCTTGAGCCCATAAGATTCAAACATATTGAGCAATTCTGTGGCACATCTCTCTCCCTCTTTTGTTCCTTTGTAAATTGAGTATCTAAATCGTATGAAGTTCTTTACGAATGACATTTTGCAGCCAATCAAAAGCAAGTCCAAACTTCTCAATAAGTTCTCGTTTTTTTAGATCTATATCTCGTAAAACATCGCCGGTTTTCTGGTACACGGGGAATTTGGGGCAGAATGTGGATCATCAAAAACAATGTCCTTCTCTTCAATGAATTATCTTACAAAACAAGCCCCCCAAAAAAGATAAATCTGTCCCCGTCGTTTTATGCAAGAAAAATTCTGAAATTATCCAAACTGAGCCCAAAAATGTGAAATTCTGCGATTCTGCTCCACGGGGACAAGACTAAATGTATACAAACAAGCTAATTCTCCCCAAACACTGCACATTTTCATGAATCAGTTTTGGCGTTTCACCAAAGTTTACAGTGC